TCTCCTCCAACGTACTGTATTTTTCATTGAATAAGCTCTTTCTCCTCCATTGATACAGCTTCTTGAGGTAAGTTTTTTTTCCTTATTTTTAATCAATCAAATATTTATTTCACAATTAGTATTAACCGTAATCTAATTGTATGTTTAGTCAATTTAAGTTTTTTCAATTATTGAATTGTTGCTTACAATTTCTCAAGTTATTATGAAAGATTATAACGAGTGATTACATTGTTAGAATTTTCTATTTGCAATTTACGTTGATAATTGAAAGCTTTAGCAATTTTATATGATTTTCGAGTCTAATTTACATAATTGAGTTCAATTTGGTTGCTAATGTGTTTTTTTTTTTTTTTTTTTTCTCGAGTCTAATTCACATCAAGGAGCACATCATAATTGTACAAGAAAGTAGTGTAATTGCATTCATAAAGGTTGAGAAATAATGAGGCATAAATTTTTGGATTAGCCATTTTAATGAAGATTAGCACACTAATTAGAGTTTAGTAAACTAAGTAGAGTTTAGAGCTGATTTTGCACTCTTTCATATTGAAGGTTTGAGTTGATGTTTCGGAGCGTGCCATACTTGTCACAATATGCCCGTGTAAGGTAACCATTACCTATTACTTTTCAAAGCATGTTACTATGTAAATAAGTGACATACATATTCAGTTATGTGGTATTTGTTATGAAGGTGTTGTTGTGGTTTGTTTGAATTTATCATCTACACATGTTGTCATGCAGATGATGTTAGTAATATTCTTGGTAATTGCAATTAGGATAATTGGATTTGTGAATGGATATTCAAATTTCAAACAATACTAATCTTTGGTAGGTGATGGATGGATCTTGTAATTATGGTTGGTTTTGGTTGAAGTTTTTCAAGAGCTTAATATGGGTGATTTTGATTTCTTAAGTTGTTTCTTGCATGTATCTGTGCTTGATGTTTATTATATATTATGTTATTCAACGGATGCTTGTCACCACTGACTGATATGTGTTATGTGTTTCGTCTGCTGCTTGTTCTTCCTTTGGGGTTCAACCTATGACAATCCAATGGGGACTAATATCACTGGGGAGCAGTGGGCGTAACTTGCTTGCAGAAAAGGTATGGAGATTCTAAGAACTTGATTTCAGTTTTGCATTTGAAAGTATTTTTAATTTTGTATGAAAATATCATTCATTGCTTTGGTCTTGGGATTTATTAGGATGGTTGTTGTAACCTTTAGCAATCAATGTTCCTATTTCCTAATGTGCTACTGTAGTTAGCTTCTGCAGCATTTTGAAAAGGGATTTAGCAGGCTGTGAAACTTGGCTTGGGGTTACTGGATTTGCCACCCGCATTGGCTTTTACTGTTACATTATAGTTTTGTAAAATCAGGGATGTCCTTATAGCATATAGCACTTGAACAGAGCCATTGTCTTGTTTTACACAAGGTTATTACAAAACTTAATGCACCTCAAATAATCTATTTACTTATGGGTGTTGTAGGCTAATAAGTTGGGATTTGCTTTACAAAATAAAATAAGGCCTTGTAAATTGTAAACCTGAAACTCAAATGAAATGTTTTGTGTCCAATCTGTCCATTGCTAAGCTGGGAGATCTAGTTCTTAGTTGCCTACTGGTGGTGGTTACTCTGTCCTTAACATCTTGTGCAGAATTTCTAATAAAGCTAACATTTCTAATAATTTAGCTTTTATTCATCGTGTCTTTGTGGGAGTAATACTCCTCTTTATCACTGAAGTGTTACCCTTGTCATAGATGTAGCTTACCAGCTTAGAACTCGTCAAAAAAAAAAAAAAAAAAAAAAAAAGCTTACCTGCTTAAAATAGGAAAGAAGACTCATCAATCTGACAAAAACTTTATTCTGCTAGCATAACTCTCCAATTGGGAGAGACCAAAGCAGCCGTGAACTAACTTAACTTTGGGTCTTTCTCTTGACATTACAACTATGAATGGCACTATGAAAAGATCTTCCAGCTGGATTACAAGTGCTAGTTAGGGAATATCAGTCTAGTTGGTGAATTAGTTACTTAGTTTTCCCTTCCATAAGACGAGCATATTCCTGCTATAGCATAAAAGTGATGGGTTTAGTGGGTCGGTTCTTAGTCTTCTTACTAATTGCTTTTCTAGAATGGTAACTATCACTAGCCAGGTTATCCGTTAGCTCCCCAGAATAACGATGCACACTTATCATTCTCCCTCACTGATATTAGGAACTTATTTCTCATAGGCAATTGCATTTCAAAATTAAAACCACACGTTCGATTTCCTAGGAATTGCTTAAATTTGTTTGGTTGTTAAGAAGGAATTTGCAAGTCAGGGAGATTTTGAGTTACTGGGGGGGGGGGGGGAGGTTGGTAATTTAATTTCTACGCTTTGTAGGCATTGGAAATTCCCATGAATTTGCAATTCCTATATATATATCACTTTTTATAGTCAACAAAACAAACCCCCCATTTCTAAATTCCCATGAATTTTCAATCCCCCCATTTTTTTCCCAACCAAATCTTTGCATATAAGTGTTTGCAAGCAGATTGTTATTTTAAGTGCATATTTAGGTGTGGTTGATGAATGTCTACTGTCTTGGTGGAAGAGAAATGATTACTAGTTTTTTATATAGATATATTTTATCTAATTTTTTTTTTGTTTCATTTTTTTTTACTAGGAAGTCTTGTTGTTTCGGGCCATGAGGCCTCTCCACTACAAGAATCAGGTCTAATAACGACGGACCTGAAAATCCGTCGGAAAAATCGATATTTCCGACGGATTTAATTTCTGTCGGACAATTCCGACAAATTAAAAAATTCCGTCGGAAATCCGTCAGAAAATAAATCCGTCGGAATAATTGGACATTCCAACGGAATATTACGTCGGAGAAGATAATTTCCGACGGAACAATATTTTCCGACGGAAAAATCCGTCGGAATTTATACTATAAAAAAAAGGAAAAAAAAATTCGGAGTATTTAACCTCTAACCCTAAACAGCTAACCTTCTTTCCGCCCCCCCCCCCCCTTTTTTTCCCTCACTTCTCTTTCCTCTTCTTTCTCTCTCCTTAACCCTCCTCCTTTCCTTCTCTTTCTCTCTCCTCATCCCCTCCGTCCGCCCTTCTCTGACTTCTCTGATTCTCTCGTCTTCTCTTTCCTCTCTTTCTCTCTCATCCCTCCTCCTTTCCTCTCCTCTTTCACCCCCTACCACCAACAACAACAACAACACCAAGCAACAACAACGAAGACGAGAGACAACTAGAACGGCGACGACAACGACAACGGCAACAAGAACGGCGACCACGTAATGCGCATAGATCTAGTTAATTTTTTATGAAATTGTAATGTTAATTTATAAATTTTATTAGATGATTGTATAATTATATATTTCCTTTTATTTTTGTGGTTTAATTAACGTTTTTTTTTAATTTTCTTTATGAAATTCTTGCTAAATATGTAGATCTATTGGTTTTGATTTTTTTGTGTGGTGTTTTTCGATTTTTTTGTCTCAATTTTCGTATTTTTGGGTTGATTTTCGATTATTGGGGTTATTTTCATTTTTTTTGCTAAGTTTTGTGTTTTTTGGGGTTTATTTTTGGTGTGGTGGTGTTTGGGGTTTAATTTTGGGGTTGATTTTCGATTATTGGGGTTATTTTCAGTTTTTTTTTTTTTTTTGCTAAGTTTTGTGTTTTTTGGGGTTTATTTTGGTGTGGTGGTGTTTAAAGGTGGGAGAGGGCTAGGGTGGGTGTCGATGGCGGTGTTTGAAGGTGGATTAGTGGCTGCTGTGGGTGTTTTTGGTGTCGGTGGTGTCGATGGTGGTGTTTAATGGTGGAATCGGGGCTGGTGTTTGAAGGTGGGATCGGGATCTGGTGGTGCGGGGTGGTTGCTGGTGATGTGGGCTGGTGGTGGGGTGCTGGGGGGCGTTTTTTTTTTTTGTTTTTTTAAAATAAGTTTCCGACGGAATTTCCGTCGCAGCAACATACCGACAGAACTCAGTCCGTCGGAAACTTGCGACGGACTTTCTCGGGCCTGGAAATATTTTCCGGCGGACTGAATTCCGTCGGAAATTCCGTCGGAAATTCCGTCGGAAATTCCGTCGGAATAGTGTTTCCGACGGAAATTCCGTCGGAAAAATCCCATTTTCCTACAAAACGTTTTCCGACAACTAGTTCCGACGGAATTCCGTCGGAAACGAGTTTTCCGACTGAAAATACGGTGTTGCTGTTTTCTAGTAGTGCTCTATGAGCCATTAGCTAAATCGGTGAAAGGTAACAAATAGCTTTTGATCACTTTTATTGTGTTCTGTCAATCCTATTTTCTAGATGTCACTATTTTTTTGTTTGTTTACTTTTTTTTATATATTTATTTATTTTTAATATTTGTATAATGGTAGTAGACTGCCCCATTTTACAGTATCGTATCATGTTCTATGGAGACAGACTAGTTTATGTCACAGCGTTGTGCTCAAAATGGGATTCCATTCTTTTTAGTTCCCTTATTACAAAATTAAACAGATATCTGGTTCAGTTCTTAAGGTGTAGGGATAATTCTTCTAACCAATAATATTGGAAGTTTGGCAGAATGCAGCTATGCTTACAAACTTTGACATGCATCTAAGACAGTTCAAATCTCTTGAATTATACTTATAATATATGAAATATCTGTGCTTCATTCTCTTATATTCATATGGATGCATTTTAATGGGAAATTTAAAAAAAAAAAAAAAAAAAAGCCTAAATAATAAATGATGTACAACGTTATCTTGGAATTCGAACTTTTCAACATCTTTGGGCTGGGTCTCTAAGCACCTACACAGGGATGGTACATGGGGTGGTAGCAAGGCTGGGATATATAGCTATTGCTACCAGCTTCCATGTTGATTTCTTGAGCTTAATGTATGGATAATGTTGATTTCTGCAGTCAAGGAAGACAGGGTCTGTGCACTGAACAGACCTTGGTTTAAGAGTCCCTCTCCGGCTTCCCTATACCATTCTTTTACGTCCTCTATGCATTCATCTTTTCGAATCGTGGTTGTTGGAGACATTGTAAGCTCTCTTATATTTTTTATCGCTATCTACGCACAGAATTTCTCTTATTCTCAATTCATATCTTGTAAATTTCTTAGTTGAGGAGTCCTTTTATTCAAGCTTTCTTTGTGTTTTATTTGATGTTTTGTTAAGTGCTGTCCTTTTTCTTCTTTAACACCTTCCTCACACAGTCACACTTACTACTTTTATTCTTATGAAGCATGAGGATTGGGAACTAGAGCATGATTACAAGGCGCTCAAATTTTTGCAGGTAAACACACCGCTTCTATCTGTTCATCAATGTCTTTACCTTTTTACTTTTTTAGATATACAAAGCTCCGCTTCATTTTGGGACTAAGGCTTTGTTGTTGTTGTACAAAGCTCCACTTCATTTTTCTTTCCTTTTTTTTTCTTCTTATTTTCTTGTGGACTTAATTTCAACGTATGTCTTTCTTAGTGGAGGCGGATCCAAACACGTATATATAAAACAAATTCAATGAATCCATATGCTTGCTTTATCTTGACTACATAATTTAGCAGCATTTCAGGCTCATATAATTCATATGAGATATGAAACAGAATGCCATAGATGGGAGGGATGAGATTTTTAAAAAGAGGGAAGAGCTGCAGTGAGAAAATAGCTTTATGTTGGGCAGTGAGCTCAAAGGATGGGACGGGGAAGGCCTGTAGACTGGTAAGAGGTTTTTTTTTTTTTTGAAAATTTAGAAGTGGGCTTTTACAAAAAGGAAGAACATATGTTGGAGTGAAGAAGCTGCAAAGATGCAAAAACTCTCCTTTTTCTAAAATGTTTTCTTTAGGCCCAATTGCACCGTTTATCCTTTATCTTAACTTCATTAGAAATGGATGAATGGAAGTAGGAGCTATGTTGTTTGGATATGTGAGAAGAATTTAATAGGAATGCAAGGTTTGTGTTGGATCCCTGAATTTTGAAACTTTTAATACCTGGAATAAGTCAATTTGGTTTTCAATTTTGGACTCAGCTGGATAAAATCTCCTTTATTATTAAGATTAGGCTCAGTTCTTTTGAAATTTTTATTGCTAAACTGAACTTATTTTCATAAGAGGTGTAAGTCTAACAATTAATTATGTTTACTGCAGCCAGAGCTGGTGCTTTTTACAGGCAAGACTCCGTCCTTGCTATTTATTTTTTGTATCTATAATAACTCTTTAATGTCCTCGAGGTATACTGCCTTCTATCTTGTGTGATGGCTGGTAAGATATGCTGATAAACTTGCATTCTAGCTTTTAATTTGCTCTCAATCTATTTGCCTTTCTGTCCATCCATCTAAAGGGGGTTCCTCCTTCATATTGATTATTAGGTGACTTTGGCAATGAGAATGTTGAACTTGTTAGGAGCACGGAAAAGGTAGACATGCCTAAAGCAGCAATACTTGGAAATCATGATTCCTAGTCTACTTATAAGTTCTCGAAGAAGTAAGTTCAGCTTCCACACTGAGTATTATAACTGTTATTTTTTATGATTAGGCCTCATAGATACACATCGTGTTAGATGAGTAGCAGGAAATCAATAAAATCCCTATTAATTCTGACTTTCATTCTCCATATGTAAATGCTCTCTGTTGATATATATTGTATTGATCAGTTCATCACTAGTTTGTAATAGACTAACTTTAGGAGGTGCAATATGGGAAGTCTATAAGGTTAATACTCTGCCTCACTGAAACCACCAGTAAAAACACTTTCGAAAGTCCCTCCTTGACTCTAATTAGTGACTTGAGGTCACAACTCTCTAATGGATTCACTCCAAAATTCTGCCTACTTTCTCCTTTCTCCCTTCTCTCTTTTTTATACTAAGGTTAAAGATTATTAACCTAATAATACTAGACTTTCCAAATTTCCCCTCCTAAAGTTAGTCTATTATATAGTTGTTATTGCTAGTTCATGTTTTTACTAATTATTGACTTACCTTTACATGCTAGGATGAAAGATGGAGTTCAGCTACAGCTGGAATCGTAAGTACATGAGCCGTTTAAGACTTTTTTTTTTAACAGCATGTTTGAGACTTTATTCCTTCAATAGTTTTATCTTATATTCCTGCCTGAAAATTGAATCCCAACACTCATGACCCTAGAAATAATAGCATGTTTGATCTCTATGTTTCTACAGAAAATTTGTTATTGTAATCGGCCACTTTTGTTAAATCTTCTGTAATGGTGTTTTGGTGCTTCTCTTATCTTCTATTACCAAAAATGATAGGAGAATCATAGAGGATGGAGAAGGCTGTTGTAGTTTCCTTTACTTTGAAATCAAGCATTAAATTGGTGTCTTGTATGTGAGTTTTTCTACTTGTGTTTTGCATTGGGGGAAAAAAAATGTTCCTTTACTGGAAGATCTTCCATTATAATGACTGTCGCCTTAGGGAGGCTCATTCTCCATGATTTACAATGTAAACCTTGTAAAATGAAAGGAAATATTGAAGGAAATAGATGAGTGAAATAAATTTCTGTAAACGAAAATATAGAGTTTGGAAAATTGGATGGTTTTTAAATTTCTTTTTATGATGTATTGTGAAAAAATGCAAAGGTGGAATGAAAGGTTGGGGAAGGAGGAAAAATTGCTGCCAGTGAAGCTTCTGCGCTGAGTTGGTCTAAAGCTTTAACATGTGTTTCGTAACTGTTAATCTGCCCCTTTGCTTCATTGCTTGATCACCTTGATTTTACAGAAAGAGATCTTAGGCTTGTTGAGGCAATGGATATTCTCGTCTATGAAGTATATCAAACACTCATTAAAGCTTAGTGTTGGACCAATTAATTTTTGGAACAATTTGCTTGATAAGATGGAATGATTTCTTTTACCCCTGATCAACATTTAGGTTAGGTGAAGCGCATGTTGAATATGGACACTTGGACTTCCCCAAATTAAAGCTTAGTGTTGTAGGTGGGAGACCATTTTCTCTTGGAGGTGATAAGTTATTCAGGAAAAAGCTTCTAAAAGCAAGGTATAATATGAAAGCAAATTTTTGATTGGTAGTCCTATTTTTTTGATGCATTTCAGATTTCATGTTGGTTGTGGTATTGTTATATTATTATTCATTGTTATGCAGAGTCTCTTGTACTTCTTTAATTTCTTTTTTCTATCTTCTTGCAATTCGTAGTTGTATAAGTTTTCTCAATAAAAATTATCTTTCATGAGCAATTCATTATAGTTAAGAGAGAAAGATACACTATCTGACCCTTTTTGGACAATCTATCACGAATGATTTGTAGAGGTACATTAACTGGCTTTGACATATCCCTTTTGAACTCATTCTATAAGATTCCTGGTTCAGATGAACTTCATTGCACCCTTGGCTTATGGACAAATTTTCAGGGCTATTTGAATGCTTGAGACTTTTCTTATCTGCATAGTGTGATATTGATGTCAGACCATTGGGGGATAGGGGTGTGAAAGTTGCTGTGAATACTTAGACCATTTGGTGACAAAGTGTACCCCATTTTCGTTATGAAGTGTAGTGGAGCATCATCGTGCTTAACATCATTTTGCGTCATGTGAATTTGTAACTCCCTTGTTTTTCTTCTGTTATCTTTTGCTATGTTGAGATTGTTATTTGTTTGGGAAGTTGGTATTTTTGTAGCTTACCATCGTAATAGATAAAATTTAAAGAAAGCAATGTTACATAGCCTCATTCCATTGTTATAGACTTTTTGGACCCTTTAGTTTAGGTATATTGCAGGAATTAAAACTCTGAACTTTTGACACTTAAACATTGTTTTGAGGGAACCAAATCAAATTGATAATATTATTAAGTCTAATCATGACACAAGTGTTGATTCCATATAAAGAGCACTGATATAATTGCATTCGTCGATTTGACTTTTTTTCCGATAAAATTGCTGGAGTTGTTAAGCTTTTATATGTTAGCTTTTGATTAATAATTTGATGTCAGATATGGAGTCCAAAACATGGAAGAAAGTGCACAAAAAATTCATATGGCTGCTATCGGAACTCCAGAAGACCACTCAATTATATTTCTCTCACATAATGGGCCAACAGGTAGCTGAGCTTTAAAACTTTTGCTGGAAATAGTGGTAATTTTGTTGAACTTTTGGATACTTGCTTGTGCAGGTCTTGGTTCAAGTGTGGATGACATGTGTGGCAAAGATTGGGAAGGCGGTGGAGACAATGGGGATCCAGGTAAAACCTAGTGTAAATGTTACTTTCATATGTGCTCATTTTGCATTTTTCTCTATGGGTTGGAGTGTGGAGATGACTAATTAAGGATGATGGAGTTAGTCCTGTAAGTCGGGTTGGGTTGGGTCCTTCGTGTTTTGGTTTTTTAAGGTCCAGTTTCTTTCAGATTGGGATGAAATGCTTAACCTGTTCCAAACTTTTGAGGTTTAAGTAATCTGATAGGTTAACTCACTTTCTTAGTTTGGATAATTTTTCTTTTTAACTACTTTAGTTTCAGGAATGTGTTACTTTGCATTTTCAGTATTTGAGTATCATACTAAGACCGAGCTGTGCAAATAAGTGAATAAACTACTAACAAATCTAAATACTGACTTTTAAAGAAGGGTTAGACAGTCGGCTCAGTATAATACGAGGCAAGTCTATGTTATATGCAAATGTAAAATGTTTACCATGTGAATTTAACTGTAACATTTTTATTCTTCATTTATGAAGGAAAAGTGAAATGGCATGTGTTCATATAATAACATTGAATATGACAATCAGATTCGCAACCTTCAGTAAAATACTAACCAATAGAATAATGAAACGAGCATGACAGCGAACATATGGCCTTAACTGTCCAATGAACAACCAGTCTAATGGGTTTCAAAAACCATAATGTTTATAATTAATAGAATATTACAACAGACATGGCAGTGAACACATGGGGCCCTAACTGTCCAATGAGCAACCAGTTCAATGGGTTTCAAAAACCGTTTTACGTAAATAAATTGAGTAGTTCTATAGAAGTTTTGAAATATAAGAAACTTTTATTTAGTTTGGCTCAACCAGTTCCTGCTAATTTTTACTGGTTCTTGGCCATATTATATTTTTTTGTGTTATTAATAAGGTGATCTGATCGATTGGTCTGGTCTAATCTGACCTTTCACAGCATAATAAAAAGTGAATAAAGTACTTAAAATCAACCAGAAAAAACGTTCTATCTGTTTAACTGGTTGGGTCTTGATTTTAGGCTGGGTTACTTTTGAGCTAACTCTGATCTGTACTCTCTGTCCTTTCCATTTTCCCTTCGTTGCCATATGAATTTGAATACCATTCTCCAACTTTGAAAGATTATTAATCACACCATGTCATTGTCTTAAAATGCATTGATGCTGGCGTTTGGGTGAGTTGTTTGACATCTCACTAAAGTATGAAGGTTTGAATATCTGAAAAGGCAAATTTCTTACATTTCATCCAATTAATTTTTACAATGTGCTAGACCATTCACTACCATAAACGAATTATCTTTTGCATGTAATTATCATCATGAACATTAAGAATATATAGTTAATTACTTGAATATTTGCTTTATGAAGCGATAAATGAAATACTTTCTTGGCAACCTATCTTAATTTTTAGCATTGTAACACTGTACTTTGGCTCTTTGGTTACAACACTTTTATTTCTAACGTTTTAGAATTATTGCAATGAAGTACTTTTTTTTTTTCGTATTTTTGTACCTGGGTGTTCTCTGATCACATGGACTCAGTTTTTATCACTTCCCTGTCACATTGGTCTCTTTAATTTCTGTGTGTTTTGCTATGTCGCAACTAATAAAAACAGAGGAAGTACATAGGCATGGATATTGATGTAGACATGGATATAATGAGCTGAAAAGTTAACATGTATCATTCAGATTTGGAACAAGCGATCTCTCTTTTGAAAGAGACTAGTACTTATTCCATCCCTTTGGTTGTGTTTGGGCACATGCATAAAGAAATGGTTGACAGGGGCTCTCGTAAGATGGTATTCGTTGCTAGTGACAACACCATGTACTTGAACGGCACCATTGTACCAAGGGTGAAACCTCTAGACTTGGGAGGTTCACTTCGTGTATTCACCGTGGTTGATCTAAGGGACGGTAGAATAACAAAGGTGGTAGAAACTTGGGTTTCAGTGGTTGGAGACAATATCTCGTTAAAAGAGGAACATGTATTGTTTTGCTCCAGTGTCAAAGGCAGTGAAAGGTACTCATTTAGAGACCCATCTGCTGGGTTAAGCTTGGTCGAGTCGGTTTGAACTGTGAAATATACAAAGCTTTCTTGTTAGAAAATAACTACATTCTGACATGCACTCTTGAGGCATATCTAATAAGTTGGGTTAAATACACTCCTAGATACAGACATATACTTAGACAACTCAGTTGAGGTTGAGAATTGAGATAATAGAGTTCACTTAAGGATCGACATAAAATTGTTTATGCTTTTCTCTGACTCGTGATTTCTGATGGTAATTTTTTACGTTATTATCTCTATTAAAATACTATAGAAACTGTAATCAGAACGTTTCTTTAATGTTAAAGCCTAATATTATGATTGATTAACATAATACTTTGTTGAAGGTAGTTTTTATCTGGTTACTGTCTTTGATATGCATCGCCGATGAATGATGCAGTATAGTGTTGAGAGTTTGAGACTGATAACATCTCAACAAAGTAGCCTGTTAGGCTGTTACAGAGTGATTCTGGCTGCTTTTGTTATTAGTATTTTCAAGAGGGCGATGTAAATATTTCCGCCATTGTCGCTCGCTTGCTTTTGTACAATAATGTGTTCTGTCGTAGTTTTTTGGTACATGGCATATTATTGATCAGGTCTACAAGTTTGTGGCATCTGAAGATGACAGTATCCTTAACAAAGGCATGATTGAATTTATTTTGGCTATGTTGTTGCTTCATTTGTTTATCTTTTCTTAAGAAGGTATCTATGACTTTATTCAGCAGTCTAATTATAAATTAAAGTTTTGATTTTGACATTGGTTTGAAATATGAAATTGACCCCAAAAAGTGCATATTATATCTGATGACTTTGTGCTTCAGCATTGAAGTTTTCCAAGTGATGCTATGGTTGAAATGTTATACAAGTATTTCTTGTATTTTATTTGTAGGTTTTCTTCATTGTCATTTCATGAATTATAATTTCAATTATTGTGATGCTGCCGTCTATGGTTACAACTTACGATTACGTTATTCCTATTAATTTCATTTTGAAGTCTAAACACTACGAATTTATCCAATGGTTTATATCATAGTTACATACCTCGCCTAAGCATAGTTAAAACATCATAGCTTAGCTCAATATTGCATGCTATAATTTATGTAGATGTAATAGTAACTTGAACATAAATTTCATACTCAACATATAGTTAATGTTCGATCAATTCACCTGATTTTTACTTATCTGTTCTTGTATAATTGTATAAAGAATTAAAGATACTCCCTAATAAGTTACATGTAATAATACGAATCAATAAATTCTATTAGATTGAGGTTTTAACTGGTGCAGAGTGGAGAAGACCATGTGGAAGCACATGTCCTAATCAACCTTTGACACGTTGCTTTCATTCCATTTCATGAACGTTGTTTAAGCTAATTAAATATAAGTTAATTATAATTAGTTAATTTAATTAGTTATTAGTACATTGCAGTATGATGTCATACCAACAATATTTGTACCCTCGTAGGCAGCAGGAAGAATATTGCTGAGATCATATTTATTTTTCTAGTGTAATAATGTTGTGACCTTACAAGTGTGTATTTATGGGTGTAAAAAAGAATTAGGGTATGTTCTTATTGACTGAACTCAACTGAACTGAGTTGAGCTGAACTGAGCTGAGCTGAATTAAACTAAACTAAACTAAAATGAATATTTTATAAGAGAAGGAAATTAGGAGCGGAACTGAACTGAGCTGAGCTGAACTGAACTGAACTAAACTAGACTGAACTGAATTTCAGCGTAAGAGAACAGGCCCTTACTGTAAAACTTACTCGTAATCCTGAAAAGGCCCCCTTAATTAAAAAATGGGTATGTTATATGCAGCCCTAAAAGCTGCATATAAGCATTTAATATACTTCTTTTTTAGTATTAAGTTGGGAATTTATCGGCAATTCACGAGTAAATCGGTGTAATAAATATTTATTTATTGTCAACTATTTTCATTTTTAGCTCCTTATATGCAGCCCTCTTGGGCTGCATATATCTTTATCTTATAAAATAATGCTTAGTAAAATTTGAATGGTTTCAAAAAAAAAAAAATTTAAATGTATCAACGGATAGATACTAAAATACTACTCCCTCTGTTTTCTTTTATTTGCATCACTTTGACCGGCACATTTGTCGAGATGTAACTTTGACCATTAATATTTTTAATGGTTAATTAGTAAAAATTACAACAAAATTATATTATGAAACTAGACATTATGACGAATCTAATGATATATTATATAATAACATTTATTTATTTAATAGAGGTGAAAAAATCAAGTCAATCATGGTATGTGAATAGTGCAAAAATCAAAGTGATGCATTTAAAAAAAAACGGAGGAAGTACTACCTACTACATTGCTAGATAAATCTACCATACAAGCTTATGTTAATTAATTCATTTGTCTTACATTATTTTTACCATTCCTTTTCTTAATGAAAATACTAAATACCGCTATAAAAAATGTCAAATCAAAGAGAAGTCCTTGTCCTTACTAAAATTTTCCCATTTTTTCTCTAACATTAGCCCATCCACCACAACCAAGTCAACTGCCACCAATCACGACACTGGTACGACTCACATCACCCTCCTGTGGTAAACTATATGCTCATAATTTAAATTAATTTGCAAACAAGTCTCTTATATATACTATTGGAGATGCTGAATGTACATATATTTGAACTAAACAATGTACTCCGTTCAAATTTATTTGGCCTCATATTCAATAAGGAGTAAAAAAAAATGTTATCAACTCAAAAATCAAAAATATTCATTCAGTTGTAATTGGGCGGTAGGAGATAGGGATGTGATAGTCATTTCTATTATTAGTCATTTCTATTATTAGGCGGATCGATGTCACCTTATTTGTAATCAACTAATCATGTAATTAATTTATCTATTTAACAATTTGACAGGCCAAGATCAGAGTAAACAATTACGGAATATATGATACATACATACATTAGCTATTTTTATAATTTCACATAACAACAATTTTTTAATTTATTTTTAATTATGCATAACCAACAATTTTTATTATTAGAGTCTCAATAAAGTATATCAAAGAAGGAATATCCCATATACTTGGAACAGTTCCTCCATAGATCCTTCCTCATTAGGGCTGACATACACCTTCGTGTATTATTCCAAACTAAACGTTGTATCTATATTATTGTTTTGGTTGAGAACTAATTAATTAATTAATTGTATCATACTAATTAATGAACTATAAATTTATTTGGGATAGTTGGAGTCTTGAAGACTTGCAATTCAATAACTTCCTATATTTTGACGGGCTAGAAGAATACTTGAATACGTGAAAAAGACATAAGACATTATTCAATCTCTATCTTATATACTTTTATAGTTTGACAACATTATATCGCTTTATTTTTAGGGAAATTCTCAATGGTAATCTTAAGGTTTCTATTTTTCTCAATAGTAAACACTAAAAAAACAAATTATCAATGGTAATCTTTAATTAATAAAACTATTCAGTGGTAACATTAGTTAAACATTTTAAGGAAATTTTAACCAAGGTTAATGCTTTAAAAGAAAATTGCCTAAAATACCCTTATTGAAAAAAAAATACAACACCCACTTCTTCCCCGCCACCCCCTGCCCCAGCCCCACCCCTTATCCCGACCGGCGCCAGCCGCGACCACCTAGATCCCCTCCCCGGCGCAGGGCTGAAACCCCCTTGCCGTTGCAACCCCTAAACCACCCAATCCCCCTTCTTCACTACCGCCATTTTCAAAACCGTCCTTCCACCTCCTCAACCCCACCTGCATTCACTGAAAACCCCAGAAATACTAAGTTAAAACCCCCCATATTCGATTCAACCCCATTTTCAAACAAAAATCGATGAAAATCCCCTAAAATACCTTGAATCGAGCAAAAAACGACTTAAAATTCAAATCAAAAGCTGATGGAATTTCGTCAGTGCATGGTTGATGGAAATTGCTTCAAGATTTTCATTGCAGGTTGTCTAACCCTAAGTCGAGATCGACGAGGTTTTTGGGGATTTGTTGGTGGTGTAGTTTGATTTGGGTGAGTTGGAAATCGAGGGTAGAGGGAATCGGGGGAAGGAGATGGTGGCTAGCTGGGAATCGAGTGAGGAAAGGTCAATCGGGAATGGAGATGGTGGTTGGGCTGGGAATCGAAGGAGGAGCGGGAATCGGGGAAGGAGATGGTGATTGGGCTGGGAATCAAGGGAGGAGAGGGAATCAGGGAAGGAGAGGCTCACTGCGCCGGCGCTAGGAGATGGGAGGGAGGGGGGTCGCTGCCCGTGGCCGCCGCTGGCAGGGGAGGGGGCTGGCAGTGGATTGTGGTTGGGGTGGCAAGGGTTTTTTTAATTTTTTTTATTTAATTAATAGGGTTATATTAGTCATTTTGCCTTAAGCTAACAACGGTAAGGCTAATAATTATGAATTAATGTCATTAATGTTACCAATGACTGAGTTTTACTAATAGAAGATTACCATTGATAATTTGTTTTTTTAGTGTTTTTTTTCATAAAAATAAAAACCTTAAGATTACCATTGAGAATTTCCCTTATTTTTATTGAGTTATTCCCTATTATGCTATTATCGTTGCAAAATAAACTAAGGAAATCAGAAAATGTTAGAGAGCAATTTTCTTTTCTACTCTTATGCGGAGTATAATTATTTTCGTAAGTTTTTTTTTTTTTAAAGATATGAATTTATTACATTAATTGGAGTTATAAAATGATGAAGGAAGGGTAAAAAAAATTAGTTTTAAATGATCAAAATAAATAAAATAGAGAGTGAAGGATGACTCAAGTGGTTAGAGCTTTCCTCCCGTTTTCAGAAAAAAAAAAAAAAAAAAAAAAAAAAGGCTCAAGGAGGTATAGATGAGTACACTAGCTAGAAGATGATTATTTTACATTATAGTGAAATGGCATACACGTGACACGTCATATAACTAGTGCAATATTTACCTTTTTATTTAATAAATCCACGAGCATTGCTCGAGCACAACACACGCATTAGAATCATGCAGAATATTCTGTTTATGACGTGGAATATCTGACGGCCACGTTGTTACTATTTCAAAGGTTTAAACGATTCCTATTTGTTTACCCTTAATATATTTCTATATAGTGGTTTAAAATGATAATTAATCCCTTTTCCGCTTTCTTTTTGTAAAATTATTAATTTATGTACCTTTATGAATTTTTTAAATTTTTTTTAGGAAAATGAATCTATTTTGTCACTTTGTATTCTTTGATGCAAATTAAATAAATTAATACATTATGCATTCACATGCATGTCCCTATAAATAAAAGCTTCTATATAGTCGGTCCAAGTGAAGAAGAGCTCAAAACACCTTATTAGTTTGCCTGTTACTAAGGAACAAAGTTTGAACTTTTAAGGAATCACAAAAAAATATTCTTTAAAATTATTTGAAATAATGTCTTCAATTTGCCCTACTTATTTAGGATGGGATTATCCCATAGATTTAGGTACAATTCAAGGTTTTAATAATGTCGACCTAGATTCTGTATTTCTTCTAAATTTTTCATCTTCTCATCAATCTCAAGATTACCAATATCATGAGCATGATCATGTTAAGCGAAGGGAATCGCCACAAGGTACAAGTTCTATAGATGTTAAGCGAAGCGATTTGCCACAAGATACGAGTTCAACAGATCATTTATTTGATAATAATCCAATATCATTATCCAAGAAACTCAATCATAATGCAAGTGAACGAGTTCGAAGAAAGAAAATCAGTAACTTGTATTCTTCTCTACGTGCTTTACTTCCTTCTTCAGATCATAAGGTACTTATTATATTTGTTATTATTACCTTCGTTTCATATTACTCGTAACAGAGGGATATTATTTATGAGACATAAAATATTCTTGTGTTGCAAGTAATATGAAAATACTTTGTATCAATTAGTCTCTTATGATCTTAATTTTTGGTCCCTAAATTATTATTATTATTTCACAATTTGTATTGATTATTATTATTCATCTCTTTTAATGCCAAATTAAAATAACTAATTACATTTTTGTAATTTATACAATTTTTTCTATTACAGAAAAGACTAAGCATTCCAGGGACAGTTGTACGTGCGGTTGAGTACATACCGGAATTACAAAAAGAAGTGGAGAATTTAATTAGTAGGAAGAACGAGCTTTTATCAAAAGTTTCATTAATCCAAGGAAATGCAAGGGAAATTATTATTCAAGAGGAAAAACCCATGACTAAAAATCGTACGATCAAGGATACATTTTCGTGTTCGATTTCTTTGAATAAAATGGGTGATAAGGAAATGGTGATCCAAATTTCAGCATTGGAGAAAATATCATTATCTGAGGTGCTTGATCTTCTTGAGAAGAAGGGTTATCTTGTTATTGATATTTCTTCTTTTCATTCTTTTGGAGGAACAACTTTTTATAATACGAGTATAAATTTATGGGTAAGTCATCACCTTAGTTTGTTACGTATTTTTTCAATTTTATATATTAGTTTTTTACGTACATTTCTTCATGCTATATTTTTGGTACCTTTTAGTTGATTGTAAAATATTAAACTTTAATTTACACAGTAAGATTTTATCATGTATAAATTAAAGATTATTGGTTAAGTTAATATTTTACAAAGTATCTTTATCTAATTTAATATGCTACGTATAAAAAAACTTTCATTTCAATTCGACTTCGTTTCACATTTTAAACACAAGAACTTCTTGTATAAGCACGCAAGATACCAATTGTTATACATAATAGATCAATGTCGTTTTCAAGATGTTGATAATTACCTAATCTCGATTTTCCTCTATATAACTAACTGTTAATCCTGTTATGATTACATATATACTCCATATATATATTTATTTTGTTTACAAGGTCTAAGATATATACTTCGTATATGTTTATGTAACAGATGGGAGAAAGTCATACCGTAAAGTTCGAAAATTTAAATAAAGTATTGATGTCCTTGCTTATGGAGCAGAAGCCTATGCAAATGCAAGTGCATTGTTAGTGTATGTAGCAAAGGAACGGTCTAAAATGCAATTTTGGTCCTTAAACATTTATTGTACACATTGTCGTCACAATTAAATATATAAATTTTCCGAGTTTTTATACAATCTTATCATATGTTTAATACATATATATACATTTTTTTTTTTTTGAACGGATACATATATATACTTCATATTACTCCATACTTCGTAAACACTAGATAATTAAAATTATTACGCGATATTCTATATTACTTGGTAAGTTTAATAGATACTACCAATATACCTACGTACAATCATTATGTTTTCAAACAAAAATCTGAGATTATATGTAAGTGGTATCTATACTACCAAAATCATTTCCTATAGTTAACCATTAATCAATTCACTTTAAACATATACAACCTTATAATAACTTAATTGTTTAAACGTCAATAATATTTATCATTTATTGTAAATGAAAGTAAAGATAAATTAGTCTTTTATGCATGCGCGCAATACAAGCATGAGCTTTTTTTTCCCAAAAGTTGTTGTATACATCCGAGTGTACGGTGCACTCAAATATTTTTTTTCCTTATTTTCTTATGATTAAATGAGGATGGTTGTTGCTCATTTATATTATAGTTGGTTGCACGGTGCAGCCAGCCGCATATGAAACTTTGTGTAGTTTTTGCCATTATTTAGACATCGTATTTATTTTAGGTGCTATGTTTATTATTATTGTTTGGATCATAATTTATTTTTACAAAAAACCTCCTTGAATTGAATAGTTCTTGATTTTATTTTCTTCTAAGTTTAACACTGAGTCATGAGGGATATTATGGTATTTTTAGGGGGACACCATCACCTCACCCCTTTGCTTATGTAAAATATGTGTTTTATTTAAATTATGGAGTTTTCAATTTGTCATTACTTGAAATGAAAAAAAAAAAACCACACACACACAAAGAAAAAGTTGTCTTACAAAGATACTGAAATTCTTTCTTAGATCCAACCACTAATTTCTAAACTAATTAAATCTTGTTCATTTTCTCAGCTACGTTACTAAAGTTAAAATAGTATACAATCTAGGGAACAATAACAAAAAATATTGCGTGTATTATTATTAAATAATAGAGGTAAAGGAGCATAGTGTTAGATCATGATCTTTTCACTCTATTATGTATATTTTACTTATTACCTATACACAGGGCCGTAGCAAGGGGAGGGCAGCTGGGGCGGCTGCCCTAGGCCCCTTGTTAAAAAGCCCAGTTTCAATACAATATAAGGCCCTAAATAAATATACTTCATACTAAATAATATTACGTATCTTTACATTTAACCAAAAAAAAAAAAAAAAAAAAAAGCAAGAAGTGTGTACTGTACAACATTACAATAGTATTGTAGAATTCCAAAATATCAAATGGCATTTTTGGTAAACATATTTCTTCCCTAATTTTTTGCCCAAATTATTCACTTTCCCAAGTGAATTTGATTAAGAAAAAAAAAAAGTCATTAATTTTAATTGTATCCCCATTTTTGGTAATTTTATTTTTTCGGTTAGTTAAATTCCTTCTCTTTCGTGATTCAATTGAAGATGAAAACTATAATAAACGGTCATTTTACTCTTAAATTTTCAACGGGATTAATCTAATTATATATAATTCTCTTTGCATACCCTACTTTTTTTTTTTTGAACGGTGCATACACGACTTTATTCATCAAGATCTCTTCTTTATACGGAGTATTAAATTATATTTTTCTTTGTATTAAAAAAATCTAATGGATTGGTTGGATACTTGGTTTGAATGGTTCGGATGGTGTAATTACTTCAACAAGAGTTATGGGAATATAATTTCAATGTTTTATGAAATTTGATATTTTTAAAGATTATTGATCATAATAAAATATTTTTGCATACCCAATTTCATATAGTATATGTGAATTAGGGCCCCGATTTATGTTTTTGCCCTAGGCCACCGAAATCTCATAAACGGACACTGCTTTAATCACGTAAGATGCTCCTTTTCCTCTATTAAAGTCATGTATAGATAATAAGTAAAAGTTCATGTAAGATAAAAAGATGTTAGGAATGTGGGCCAAATTACTTGATGTGTATTAAAAAAAAAATGATGCATGTGATGTTTTATAAACACTACCTTGAAAGCAAAATTCATCTTGATTATGGTGTAATCGAATGTGATGTTGTCTTGGCTTACATCAAACCTCCAAGTGGGGAAGATGAGTTTTACTCATAAAAGGAGGATTTTGGATTTTGGATTTTGGAACTTATAGTTTTTTGCTTATAATAATGGGGAAGATGAGTTTTATTCCAAAGAGGAGGAAGATGAGTGATGAAATATTATTAACGACTTTTTTAGAAGAGAAATAAATTTTAACTGAAGAAATATAAAGAGGAGAAAAAGTAGGGAATTGCATTAACGTACAACTGATTTATTCGGGATAATATTAGACTTCAACCAATGTTTAAAGGTGATGCATTGACTAAGGGTCTGTTCTCATTGACTGAACTCAGCTGAACTGAACTGAACTTATTAATTAGTGATTTTTAACTACGGATTAGTGATCTTTGATTATTTAGTATTATACATATGTGTATATACAAATATACATATTAAAATATTTAAGAAAAATATATTATTATTATTATTATTTATTGATTATTATTATTATTATTTATTGATATGATTATTATTATTTATTGATTATTATTATTATTTATTGATTATTATTATTATTTATTGATTATTATTATTATATTATTATTATTATTATTATCATTCTTATTTATTGATCATTATTATTATTATTATTATTATTATTATTATTATTATTATTATTATTATTATTATTATCGTTGTTGTAATAAGAGCTTCAAATTTTGCTTTATATCATTAGCAATATCATTACACATGAACTGAATTTCAACGTATGAGAACAAGCCATAAGTTTAAAAGTTGAAAACATCCCACACCTCCATGGGCTCGGTGACACTAACACATGGTTTAAGATTCTTCAAAATAGACTGTCAGAAAAGAATGGTTATACTTCGTATTAATTAAGGTTTAAGGTTGGAGTTAAGGGGTATTTGTCTCACCAAAGTTGCCGTATTAAATTGGAAAATTTGCTAAAAATAATACAACCTTTAGCCCATTCTTTTTTAATAATACAACCTTTGAATTATTTTGTAATAATACAACTTTTAGGGAGTGTTCATTTTAAACAAGATAAATTCAAATTTTCGGTGGACTTTGAAGTTAGGAAAAAGGATGGATGAGTTTTTGGTGGTGGGGATGAGGATGGATGGAATATCCCCTCCCCTTCTCCTACCTCAAAACTCACCGAAAATCCGATTTTATCTTGTTTAAAATGAACACTCCTAAAAGTTGTATTATTACAAAATAATCAAAAAATTGTATTATTAAAAAAGAATGGGACAAAGGTTGTATTATTTTTAGTAATTTTTACTATTATATTTAGATGGTTAGGACCCTAGTTTCAAATTCAATTCCAATTTTCTTCATTGTCGAGTACTTTGTTTATTTATGACGGGTCAACATGGTCATATGAATATAAATCAAAACGAGTATAATGAAAAGTGTGTAATAAAATGCAATACTCTGTTTTCTCAAAAAAAAAAAAAAAAAAAAAAAACGCAATACTCTGTATATACTCTATTTAATTAAAATTTATAACTAGGAAACAATACTCTATGTACATTTAATTAAAAATCTATAATTAGGAATATAACAATATTACTCGTTAGTTGTAAGTTTGTAACAAGTCTCGGCCCAATGCAGTCCAATATGAATTAACCGGTCCAAGACAGACTACAATGAGTCAATGACCCAGCAGCAATCATGTGTACTTTGTATCATTCAATTGTTGCCATTAGAAAGTACATAGCTTTATTATTATGAGGGTTTAGGGTTAAGGTTAGTGACCAAGTGTTTAGGTTTTAATAATAACAACAACTAGCAGTCAATGGCCAAACTGGCTGCCAAAACCGGTCTAATCATCGCTAAAAAGTAAAAATTAATTTGTTACTGTTAGTGAAAGGTTTGTTAGATGAGAAATTTCAAATTTGTGTAATGATGATGTGACATAGTGACATTACGGGCACATGGACAAACCTCTTATATGGATTTGTTCTACTGTTATTGCCCTTATTGTGAAATTTGTGAGTGTACATATCAACTCAAGTGGCATAGATTGAAGAGTCAACAAAGTTGTGCCCTTAATGGCCTTAATTGCCGTTCTTGTCAATTAGCTCAATAATAAATAAACCAACTACTTTTTGGCAACTTTTCAGCTTTGGTGAGCTTGATATATTAGAAGACTTTGAATTATGACGTATAAACATCTTTTCTGAGCAATACTTTGTATATAAATGTAGCTTTAGAAGTGTACATAGTATACCCACTAATTTTAAACAACTGATACTTAAACACGACCAATTCAAGAAATATGAAGAAATTCTTTGGGCTATTGTTGTTGCTTATCTTTTTATTTGCTTCTGGTAATCGATCACTTCCTCCTCTTTTTTTTTTTCTTTTTTTTTTTTTTTTTTTTGTATGCACTTATACTTGATTCAACTAACTTAAACACGACCAATTTAAGAAATTATGCACTTATATTTAATTCAAGTCATATATTATGTTCGCATTATTTCATTTTAATTATATTAGAAAAAAAGTTTAGATTAGTGTTAGTAAGTTGATTTAAGTATACTACGTTCATAGTAAAGATAAGTTAATTTTATGAGACGGTTAGCTAAATGAGTTTTCATTTATTATTGATAGGCATGAGATGATATGGGAATCAGAAATTTCGAGTGTAAAATGAGTGAGTTGTACTTCTAAAAGTAGAATTTTGTACCTTATGAAATTAGTTGCTGAAATTGAAAGTCTTACAAGAAGTTACTTCCCTCCATCTATTGTCAACTAAACAACACTTACACATTCTATGAACTTTAAAAAAAAAAAAAAATACAAATATCAACCAAACGAGGAAAAAAAATAAATAAAAATCCTATACGGCTATAGTACATCCTGATTATTTTTATTTTGGGTGCAAACGAAGGCAAAGCCCTTTTATTCAAAGCAAAAAGAAATTAAATTGCAAACCGGGGAGTAGTGACTCTTAAAATATCCTCCTGAAAGAAAAAAAAGGAAAAAGAAATTAAATTACAAACCGGGCTATAGTACATCCTATCCCTAGAGATTTGATATTCATTTCAAGTCTTATGTTACGCATGTGTTTCTTAATTTTTTGTGCATAATTGACAGAGATGAATATGGTGGCCGAGGTTGATGGTGCCACATGCGAAAAACCAAGCCAGTTCTTCAAAGGTCCCTGCGGTACTCATGAGGCTTGTAGGCAATCTTGTACTAAAGAGAATTGGCCTGTTGGAGTTTGTGACTTTTTCAAATGTAAATGTCAAAGGCCTTGTTAAGCACTACAGTGTGCTTAACTGCTTATGTACTTATGTACGTGTGCTCCTCGTTGCTTTATATAACAAGCATGACTAAAATCAAAGCAATAATATCCCTAGTTCCCTACTAAACTTTTTGAGTTATACTTTCAATTTTCAATTACTGATGAGTATCCATCAAAAAAAAAAAAAAATAAAGAAAAAGAAAAAACTTACAAATGAGTAAAAAATATCCTCGACCTTGCATATATATATATATATATATATATATATATATATTTTGATTTTTTTTTTTTATAGATGTCTCCATTTAAAAGTTGTTCCTCCATTCACTGTACCACATACCAGTTTTCAGTTTTGATTTGATTTTAATACTATTATACTTCCTCCATCACATATTTTAGTTTTTTGTTATCCTATTTTGGAGAGTCAAAATATTGTTCCTATTTTCATTTTTATATAATATGTAAAGACTATTATACCCTCACGTTTTTAACTTTATTCATGTACTTTCGACATTAACCTTTAATTTTGCACATGCCTTATACTTTTTTCCACACTCTCTCTAACTTTTGTCTATACTTGTACTTTTCACTTTTATTAATGTAGTTCATTCACTTTCTCCTCAGATTTCTTAAAAAACGTGAAAAAAACACAAACAGTAATTATATTATGGGACGGAGGAAGTAGTATTATATCTATAAACAAATGTTACTCCGTATTATGTAAATTTTTATTACATTAGTGATTTATCACAAAATCAGAAATCACAATTTGTGTATAATCTCAAGTTTTTACTAGTATTATTTTTTGTCAAATGAACCAACCAGGAAAGATGATGTGGGTATAAAGGTCACCAAATAAAATGGGCTTGATATTTAAGTTAGGACATCGAGATATCTGGGCCTATATGTATTAGAATATCCAGATCTAAGTATACAACATATTTATCACCCAGCTTCAGCGGCAAGCGACAGAAAACAGACAGAAGTCGGTGGTTTGCTACAATTTCGATGCCGAAGAATTTCAAGAAAGATGATTTCCGGCGAGAAGCCACTAGCAACCGGCGTACGAAATCCGAAATCAACGGGAATAAATCAATTGTTGCTGTTTTGTTTACGTCGTTTGTGGTTTTCTAAATTATCCTTTTTTTTTTTCTTTTTTTATGGTTTTTTCGAAATTCTTATATCCAATCAATAGAAATAAACAAAAATATTACCAATTATTTTCGATCTATCAAGAACCCTTTTTAAATAAAATAAAAATTAACCTCAAGGAACCAGTTTGGAACCTCTGAAATAAATGAAATAAAACGATATTAGCCGTTAATGTCTATGGGTTTTGTAACGATTTTCAGGAGTAATAATGATTCATTTGGCTGTAATTAAAAAAAAAAACCCAAATTTAAAAAATTAAAATTATTTTTTATATAAAAAACAACCCAAACCCTAAACCCTAAACCTAACCCTAACCCTAAACCCTAAACCCTAACCCTAAACCCTAAACCCTAAATCCAAACCCTAAACCCTAACCCTAACCCTAAACCCTAAACCTCCCTAACCCTAACCCTAACCATAAACCCTAAACCCTAACCCTAAACCCTAAATCCAAACCCTAAACCCTAAAACCCAAACCTAAACCCTAAACCCTAACCCTAAACCTTAATTAGAAAATAATTCATCGGAAACACGTTTAATTATTTCCTAGTGTTATTTATGTAACCAATTTGCTAGCAAAGTGTTTACTATGTTGGGCTAGAATCTAATTATTTCCTGGTGTTATTTTTGTAATGTAATTTTTTAACTTTAATATTGTTTCCTATAATTCAAGATTTGACTTTTCTAATATTGTTCTCTCCGAAATTTCAATACATTCGGTCAATATTATATATGTAATTTTTTTTCTAGTCATTTTCATATAACTTTTTTTTTTGTGCACATGAGTGGCTAATATCCATGACGTTGACCTAGCTAATTTTTAATGCATGTGTAATCATATTTAATTAATTTAGTTGTAGTTCGTTTTTATAATCTCAACTAATTAAGATATTATTTCAATAATCAAAAGAGAGAATAAGAACTACAACATTTATTAAACATATATAAAAATGTCAATATTCTATCTCTAATTTAATATATATCTCAAATCATGTACAAACCAACAAAAATGGAGCATGCCTTTTGGGCTATACCGCTATAGCGAGCTTTTCGTGTCAATACAGGCAATGATTTGACGTTATTCATTTGTATTCGTTCAAACGTGCATTTTTTTACATGGGTTGGATCGTGCTAACGATACAGGTCATTTATGATCACTTCTAATGACATACATCTTATAAATAGAAAAAAAAAAACTTTTAGATTTTTACCTACACTAATTAATTTAAAATTGTACTAGAATTTCTTAGCCCTTTAATTAATTTATGTTATTTTTGTACAATGTCTATATATAATAAATTTTCTATTACTCTTATAGGTTGTGTGAATTAAATTTGTGATTATATAAAGTTGATTATGAACTATGTCGCCTATATGACTAATTAAATTTGATTAAGTTATTTGATTTTCTTTTAGAAATTACTTACAAGGAGTGATTGAAGTCGTTGAAGTACAAAGTCTTTTTAATTATTTAAAATGATTATAACCGTACCTTGCACATGCAAATAGTTTTTTTTTTTTTTTTTTTAATAATCCACTCCCCCACATACCTCTTATTGTATTTAGGATAACTAAGTTGCCTAATATTTTGTTCCTGTCAAAATGTGACATTAATTTATTAAAACATATAGGGAGTACTTTTCAATAAAAAATGAATGGTTTGAATTATAAGACTATATACAGATTATCCCTAACACTCATAGATTTTCCGAATTAAATTAAACATATATCGAACCCACCATCGAATTAGTCACGATGAGGTTGCCGTCGGGGAGGTGCCGGGATGCACATGTGATGGGAGTTGGGCAAGGCCACCCACATGGGGTTTATTGTCGTTAATAGAAAGGCCCATCAACTTACTCATAAAATTATTCGAAGTTCAAGATACAGGGAAACAAAGACAAAAAAGATCCAATCTATTTCAATTAGGCGGGAACTTGATTCCAAATATAGAACAGTGGGCCCAATCAAATCAAAACTCCCAAAAATAACCTTTGTTTTTTTCTTTATTTTACGATTTTCCTTAAAATACGTCACAAAATTAAATTTTTTTTTTTTTTTTGAAAGAAATCACAAAATTAAAATTTGAATACTCTTAACAAATTTTGTACGATTACAATAATTAAAAAAAAAAAAAATAGACAAATTCCAAAACCAACCCTTCATCAGCCTTCACCATCTTTGCTACTGCACGAAAAAATACAGGACAACAAAAAGAGGAGAGAGAAAATAAAAGGCTGCCATTTTTTCTCAAAGCAAAATTTAGAGAGAGAAAGGGAGGAGAGAGAAAGTGAGAAGGGTTCATCAATTAGGGGTTTCGTCTCCATTTTCCGATCTCATAAACCCTAGCATTTCCTTCTGTTTTTCTCTCTCTCACCTTCAATTTTTTCAATTTCCTCTTCGGATTTTCTTCCTCTATTTTTTCAGGTATGTTTCGCATTATTGTTTGCTTGTATTTTTAATCTGTAATGCGGTTTATTTTAGGTTTAATTTGTGTTTTTTTAGGCGATTTTGTATGAAGTTTTGGGTGTTTTGACCTTTTTATTTGTATGTTTGTGAATGATTGTTGTAATGGATTATGGTTGAATTGTTGTTTGTGAAGATGGATCTGTGGAGATGGATAATTTAGGTTAATGTGATGAAATTTGCTGAATTTGATACCTCAATTAGTTGATGTTTAAACTTTTACTTGAGAATTTTGCTGGATTTTTTTGATTCTATGGTTTGATTGGATTTTGATGAGAGAAGAGTAAGGATTAGTAGTTATATAGCTGATTTTCTCGAATTCAAGCTTAACTATGGACCAAGATTGTGCTTTTTAGCTTGATCTTGAGCTGGAGAAGAGCTCCAAGTTGTGGAGTTCAAGAATGTGAAAAGGAAATTGAATGAGCATCAAGCTATGGACTGGATCATCTTGATAGAAGTTCCCAAACGCGTAAATTAAAAGTTCATATGGTAGCTCAAATATTGCGAAGGATGAGGCTGACTGATGTAAGGAGTTGATGGTGGTAGGCTGGTAGCAATTAGGCCAACAATAAAAATGATAAGTGGAACTTTGATATGTTTGTTTTGTTGTTTCAGTCAGCTATACTGTTAAGTTGAGAATTCGGATGGCTGTTTTTTGGATAGAAAGTGCTGAGATGTTTAGGATGTTATAGCTCAAGTAAATTAACGGTTGCTTTCCGTGAGATAATTCACTGCACAGATGGAATGTTTTATAATGGTTATATCAGATATGGAGTAATTGTTGAAGTACCAACATGATTGAAAGCCTAATGTGGAATGATTTAGTACGATTCTTTAGCTGTATACCTTCATCTCAAAACCTTATTTATTGTGCAATGTTTGCCTTGTGATTAAATACTTATGCTGCAAGTCAACGGTTATGAGATTGTTGGAAATGTTAGGTTTTCTATTCTTAAGGTAGTTACTTCCATTCTTCCACTAGTTGTGCAATTTTTGGCGAAGGCTATGTCTATTTCGGTATTACCTCTATCGATCTTTTGCAAATGTTAGGTTCCTAAAGTTTGAAGGTTTATTTCCATCTGAGACTCAGAGATTTTGTCAGGCGGCAATTTCCATATTTGTCATTACCTCATTGGAAGTCTTGTATTAAGGTTCAGTTAGTGATGAATGTTATTTATATCTCATCTTCTGGTCAGTGCCTCACTTTTTCGCCTAAGGTTCTTATTGATATATTGTAGGAAATGTGGCAAGTGAAAAGGTCAAATACTGTGGGAGACATATGGGGAAAAAAAAAAGTATGCTCAATGTATTGTTCTCCGTGGCAATTTTTATCGTCCGTGTTATGGACTTATGGCATCTATATCAACCAGTGCTATTTTCTGTGGCACATATTTTTTTAGTGGAAGAATGAGCATTACATTACTCACTTTCATATAAACCTTGCAATACATCTGTCTAGCAATAATTTTATCTGTGCAAACTTTTGTCATACTGTGTCAGTGATCCTAA